GTAGGAGTTATCCCAGGTATGCAATGCTGCCTTAACACTCAAAAATAAATCAGTGTAATCTACCACATCAATGGGTTAAAGAATGAAAATCATATGATCATAACAGTTAATGTAAAAAAGAGCATTTGGTAGAATCCTATACCCATCCTTTAGAAAAATTCTCAGCAAGGTAAGAACAGACTAGTAATACCTGAACTTGATATAAAGCATATATAAAATGCAACAGCTAAACTTACACTTGCATTATGAAATACTGAATGCTTTCCTCTTAAGACTGGGAATAGGGTAATACTGTCTGCTCTCATCCCTCCAATTTAATAACCTATTGGATGTCATATCCAGGGCAGTAGGCAAAAAAAGGAAACAAAAGGCCTAGAGATTAGAATGAAAAAATAAAACCTCCCCTATTTGCAGATTATATATATCCTTGGATAGAAGATTCCAACCTATCTATAAAACATCTGTTAGAACTAATAAGTAAATAGCAAGGTTGTAGGATACAAAGTCCACACACAAAAATTAATTAGATTCCTGTATACTAACAATGAATAACTAGAAACCAAAATTAAAAACACGGTACAATTTACAGTTGCTTCAAAAGCAGTGAGTTGCCTACACATAAATTTAGCAAAATATCTACAGGATCAGTATGTGAAAACTATAAAACACTGATATAGGATATCAAATAAGCTATAAATAAATGGAGATACATGTTGTATACTGTGTTCATGAATTGGAAGACTCAGTAAAAATATCCATTCTCAAGTCTCTCTACAGGTATAATGAAATTCATATGAAAATTCCAGCAGGATTTTTGTATAGCCATAGACTGTGTGATTCTAAGTTTATACTAAAAAGAAAAAAAACTGGAGTTGTATATCAGTTTTGAAAAAGATATTACTCAATTTGAACTGTTATATAACTATAGTAATCAAAACTGTTGTTGGTGACTGGATAGACTCCGAGAGAGTCCAGACAGTTCCTTTATATAGGTCTGGTTAGCTGATTTTTGACAGTGGAGAATGGTTAGCCTTTCACAAATGGTTTTGGAGCAGTTGGATCAGCATAGGGGAAGAAGTGAAACTCGACCCAGACCTTACACCTTATGTAAAAATTGACTAAAAAATGGACCACATATCAAAAGGTAAAACATAAAACTATAAAACTTTCATAAGAAAATATGACTTATGATCAGGTGAAGATTTTCTGAGATATAGGACTAAAGGTATAATCCAGAAAAAATTATTAAGTTTGACCTCATTAAAATTAAAAACCTGGTATGCTAAAGATCCTATTAAGAGGATGGAAAGAAAAGCCTTAGACTGAGAAGAAATATTACAGGTCACCTATTCAACAAATAATTTGCATACAAAATGTGTTAGGAACTCTCTAAATTCAACAGTAGGAATACTAAAAATCCAAAAACAAATGGACAAAGGGTGTGAGGAGCCATTTCACTGAAGACTATATATATATGGATAGGAAATATGCACATGAGGCTGTTCAGTATCATTATGGATTAGAAACCCACTCAGGAAATACAGATAACTATTAGATATAGGTAATAAATAACATAAATATAGATAAAACACCTTGGTGGGATTAAAGACCTAAATGTGAGACCTGAAACCATAAAAATCCTAGAAAAGAATATAGGCGGTTATTTCTCTGACATTGACCATAGCAACTTCTTTCTAAATATGTCGACTGAGGTAAGGGAGAGAAGCAAAAATAAACTACTGGGACTGCATCAAAATAAAAAGCTTCTGCACAGTGAAGGAAACAATAAAAATAAAAGGCAACTTATGGAATGGGAGAAGATGTTTGCAAATGATGTATCTGATAACGGGTTAGTATCCAAAATATATGAAGAACTTATAAAACTCAACACCCAGAAAACAAATAATCTAATTAAAAAATGGTCAGAAGACACGAAGAGAGATTTTTCCAAAGAAGACATCCAGATGGCCAACAGACACATGAAAAGATGCTCAACATCACTGATCATCAGAGAAATGCAAATTGAAACTACAATGAGATATCACATCATACCTGTCAGAATGGCTAAGATCAACAACACAAGAAACAACAGGTATTGGTGAGGATGAGGAGAAAAAGGAGCACTCAGGCACTGTTGGGAATGCAAACTGGTGTGGCCACTGTAGGAAATAGATGGAGATTCCTCAAAAAATTAAAAGTACAATTACCATAGGATCCAGTAATTCCACTATTTGGTATTTACCCAAAGAATACAAAAACAGTAGTTCAAAAAGATAGAGGCACCCCTATGTTTATTGCAGCATTATTTACACTAACTAAAATATGGAAGCAACTGAAGTGTCCATGGATAGATGAATGGATAAAGGAGAAGTGGTGTATATATACAGTGGAATATTATTCAGCCATAATAAGGAAATTTTGCCATTTTCAACAACACAAATGGACCTAGAGGATGTGATGCTAAGTAAAATAAGTCAGAGAAAAACAAATCCCATATGATTTCACTCATGTGGAATTCAAGAAAAAAAAAATGAGCAAAGGGGAAAGAAAGGTGACAAAGCAAGGAACAGACTCTTAACTCTAGAGAACAAACTAAACTGATAGTTACCAGAGGAGAGATGGGTCGGGGGATGGGTGAAATAGTTAATGGGGATTAAGAATTGCACTGGTCATGATGAGCAACAGGTTAAAATAAAAACTTTTTTAAAAAGAAGAAATATTTTGGGGAAATTCAAATTATATAGCTAACAGAATGGCCAATATCAGAAATATGTAAGTGAAAAATAGGTTTAAAAAATGTAACCAATAAAGGATATCTCTTAGACCTATGTGAGAGTGGGAGGTGCTTGAGTTGTAGAGTTGGCTAGAAGAAACAAATTATTTATGACCCAGGGCAGTTCCATATATGCATTCTTAGTAAATTTCCTGAAGAGATATCAAATAGAAGGAGGTCTAAAGCACTAAGGATACAATAATTTCACTAAATTTTCACCTCCATGCCTTCTTTTATATTAGTGATTTTATTTTCTTTTCATTAAACTGAACCTCCCAAACCCTATAAGATTTGGCCTTAAAAAACCTGATGGGCCCTTCTTTTCACTACATCTGTATCTTTGGGGTAAATACCCAGTAGTGCAACTGCAGGGTGATAGGGAAGCTCTATTTTTAATTTCTTGAGGAATCTCCACACTGTTCTCCAAAGTGGCTGCACCAACTTGCATTCCCACCAACAGAGTTGAGGGAAATTGGAAGGGGAGGTGAACCATGAGAGACTATGGACTCTGAAAAACAGCCTGAGGGTTTTGAAGGGGCGGGGGTGGGAGGTTGGGGGAGCCAGATGGTGGGTATTAAGGAGGGCACGTATTGCATGGACCACTGGGTGTGGTGCAAAAACAATGAATACTGTTACACTGAAAAGAAACAAAACCAAAAAAAAAAACCTGATGGGCATTCACAGGTGAGAGTGGATAAGAAGTAATGGAAAGTCACTATGAATTCTTTTGGTGGCAAAACACTTGGTAAGAAAGATTGCTGCTATTTGTCTCTGACAACCTTGTAAATATAAACCTTATACCAAAATATATTTATTATTTGTCTACCACATTACTTGAAAAAAGGATGTGAAGTGACATTAATAATTGGTTTAGTACAAGATAAAACTTAGTAAGTAAGTTCATAGAGGCAGTATGTATATTAGTGTTTAACTCTGTGGAGTGTGGGTTCAGACTTCCTTGGTTTGAATACCAGCTCCTCCCACTTACTAGCTGCCACTTAACCTTTTTGTATCTCAGTGTTCTCATACGTTAAATGGGAATAATAGTGGTGCCTACTACATAGAAGCTTTGTGAAAATAATTTATTACATGTAAAGCATTTAGAAGAGTACCTGGCACATAATAAGTCCTAAGTAAGTGTTAGCTCTCATTACTAGCTCTGAATCGTGAATGTTTGTTTCAAGAAGAGACTGTATTCAGAATCTTCACTTGAAAATAAACTAAAATATTGTCTTTGTTTAAAATACTCCTTCATTTGTTTTATTTTAGGTGTAGTAAAGAGACCTTATAGGTACCAAAGAACCAATAAATATTACAAACTAAAAAAAGAAATTTGATGAAAAGCAAACATTATGTTTCTTGGGGTGCCTGGGGGTGCAGTCAGTTATGCTTCCAAGTCTTGGTTTCTGCTTAGGTCAAGATCTCTGGGTTGTGAGATCAAGCCCTGAGTCAGTCTGCTTGAGATTCTCTCTGTCCCTCTGCCCCTCCTTGCCACATACTCTCTCTTTCTCTAAAATAAATAAATAAATTTTTAGAGAAAAAAACGTAACCATTATGTTTCTTGAATTTACTTCTCTTCTAATTTCTGAATTAAAAATAAAATAATTTTTAAAAATAAAATTTCTGAATTTTTATCTAAAATATGTAATAAAATTTTTTTCTAAAATCCGAATACTTTTTGTCGCTATGTGAACTTTAGAACAACTCATTTTGGGCGCCTGGGTGGCTCAGTGGGTTGAGCCACTGCCTTCGGCTCGGGTCATGTTCTCGGGGTCCTGGGATCGAGTCCCACATCGGGCTCTCTGCTCGGCGGGAAGCCTGCTTCCTCCTCTCTCTCTCTCTCTGCCTGCCTCTCCGTCTACTTGTGATCTCTCTCTGTCAAATAAATAAATAAAATCTTAAAAAAAAAAAAAAAAGAACAACTCATTTCCTATCATTCAAGATCTCGACTTAAGGCTGTTGCATTTGGGGACTTTCAAAACCTGTTCCTATTTTTTTTTAAAGATTTTATTTATTTATTTGACAGAGAGACATGGTGAGAGAGGGAATACAAGCAGGGGGAATGGGAGAGGGAGGAGCAGGCTTCCCACCAAGCAGGGAGCCTGATGCGGGGCTCGATCCCCCCTGGGATCATGACCTCAGCCAAAGGCAGACACTTAATGACTGAGCCACACAGGTGCCCCAAAATCTGTTCCTATTAATCACAATTTTCCTTTTCCCTTTATAGGTCACCATTTGCTGCTGTCACAGACTACTCAGTTACAAGGAATAATGTCATACAGCTCTGCTTGGAATTGACAACAATAGTGCAACAGGTATTAGCTGATAACCTTTCTTTTTGTTAATTTATTATCTATTTCATACTCTAACCGTGCAAAGTATTCCTTTTTACCAATAGTTTATAAGATACTGGCTTGGGAGTTTCTTACTCTAAGACAAATGGTTCTAAATAAACTTATATATGATTTGAGAAACTATTCATGTAGCCCAATAAGCAAGCTTTTTATTTAGCAGAAGATGTAAAAAAGTAAAGTGAACCTCTAGAGAAATCACTGTTAGGTTGTAGGTCTGGTGGTCTCACGTTTTAGTGGGAAGGGTTGTACTTCCTTTCACAAAATGAAATTGCCCCATTTAGATAACAGTCTAAAACTTTTGCTCTAAGGCACTGTTCTTTATTACTACAACTATTAGTTTCACTTATATATTGCACATATGAGAAAATATACATAACAGCTTTTAACAATGATGTATTTACATGTCCTGGTTTTTTACTTTAAATATTATCCAACCCAGGGATCCCCAAATCAAATGCCTTCAGGAGTGCTGCAGCTAATATAAATGTTTGAATCAAGCCTAGGACAAGGTATGAAGAAACATTATGGTGGTAAATTGACTAGTATGTATTTTACAATATTTAATTAAAGGTAATATAAAACACATCTGTGAAGTCTGAAGCCCACTGTCACCATACTGCTTAAGCCCTAGTGGCAGCCTGTTGCCACTGTGTTCTCAGGACCCAGCATTTGTTAACCTATCCAGTGATGCAGAATGAAAGCAGACGAGAAAATAAGATGATACAGAAGATTACTGGGGACGCTGATGATTTATTCTTCTACTCCTTGTCCTTTATTACCAGGGATAATTATAGGAAGAAGAGTAAGTTCATGACTTTTAATTGTGGAGCACATCGGACATTCATCAGGATTCTATCATGGCAGTGAGAAAGCAACTCGTGGTTACTCAGAGACATGCGTGGAGATTGTGAACGTTTTTATGAATTTTGAGATATATTAACAGTCTCACTGCATGTCTTTATATTTGATAGCAGTAAATTTAACTTCTGAATTTCAAAAATCCCAACTGGATAATGGGGAGAAGAGTGGCATTTTAGGACAAGGGTCAACAAATTTTTCTAAAAGAATCAGACACTGAGGACTTAAGGTTTTATAGGCTGTGTAGTGCAGGCTATCAGGGTGTGTTGCAACTACTCAACTCTGTTGTAGACCAAAAGGAGCCAGAGACAATGCGTGAATGGATGGGGGTGGTTAAGTGTCTGTAAAACATGTTTTGAAAAAAAAATGCTACGGGGTGAATTTGGCCCAAAGGCCGTCTTTAGCTGACGGTGTTCTGGGGCAGTGCTAGGCCAGGGTGGTCTGCGGATGAGCAGCATTATCACCACATGAAAACCCGTTAGAAATTCAGATACTTGGCATATATCCGAAATATACTGTGGGAAGTTCCCAGGAATCTGCATGTTTGCTAGTTTTTCAGGTGATTCTGGTTTTCCTATGTTGTTCTAGGGCCCAGGAATAAAAGCATTAATATGATCTGTGGGTTATTTTTCTTATAGTTCTTTATTATCAATGACACTTCTTAAAAATGTACTTTCTACAACACTGTTTCTTTTAAAGGCATTAAACTAAACCAAAGATTTGAGGTATGGATAACAGATTATTAGAAATTCTCTCTGATTTAGGGATATATATTACACAGTATTTGTATGATAATCTTGCATAGCCTTTTAATATAGGTATGTGCTCGGTAGAGATCTGTATTAAGCAATCCTAATAAGACAAGAATTACTAAGTGCTCCATTTCCAGATCTGTGATAACTGTGTTATATTTGTTTTGTAAGCTTTTTATTTATACATGAGACCAAAAACAACTGATATAAGGTAGAATTAAGTGTGAGGATTAAAAATATATATTTTTAACTTTTTATACATGAGAAACTCCTATTTATTGTCAGTTCTATGAGAATGTAATCCATCTGATATCACCTTGCAAGATAACTTCATTTCCAAGCATACTTATGACAGAAAGTGGTGTTTTTCAGTTCTTTCCTCTCCTCCAAACATCTGGACCTGAATACCCTATTTAAAGTTTGCTTTTGAGTAATTGGACAACTCTCTGTTGCTTTATAAACTGAGAGTGCAAATCTAAATGGCAATTATCTTGTTTTCTTGACAAAGAGTACTCAGGTGTATTCATTTTCACTTGATTAATACAGAATGTTTTCCCATATCAAAAGGGGATCAACAAAGTGATCTTGAAAAAAAAAATTAGCTTTAGTTAAGTATAGAGTGAGGTCATAAATGGAGAGTTTTCTCTGTTTAGGGCTTACAGGTTCCAGAGCATACCTTTTCTAACCTTCAAATGTTACATTGAGAAGAAGGTCTGAAATTATTTCAGTGAATTAAGATCTTCTGTAGAGAGATTGTCCAGTGGTGAAAGTGTGGTTTATGTCAGATATGACCAACCAACTCCTACCCAATCTGCTATTTTAAGAATCTACTATCCAGGTGACAAGTGGTTCAGCTTTTGTGTCCAGAATGTATAAATATCTGCTATTGACAACTACTTCACAATCAACATATGCCGTTCTGATACTGCCCTCAGAGGCTGTTGATGCTCTCAGCAGGACCTCTAATAGCTTGCACTGTGTGGCCTGACATTCTCCTTAGGAATCTGCTTCAAGGCATTAATGGGTTTAAGTCTTTCTCTTTACAGGTCAGGAAACATTAGGTAGAGTAGAGAGAGATGTTTTCACAAGTTGAACTGTGTGTACATTCTGACTTGACCACATACAGAATTACTGAAAATACTCCAAATAATCAAAATACTCCAAATACGCTCAGATGTAGGACCTTCTGTACTCTCCACCCACTGTACACTCTGTTCTAAAGAAGATGCCTTGCCCTTCATAGGTCATGTTGCTCTAACACTACCTGTTTCTATTTTTTGAAGTTCAGCAGCTTGTAATATATGTCACAGTTCCTTCTAAGTCGCTCCCATTTTCCCATGACATGTCCTGTTCCATGTGTCACCTTTAAGATGCTTCTGAACAAAAACCTCTGTACCTAGCTGGTTTGGGTTCTTGCCTTGCATCCCAACATGCACCTGACCAGATATCTTAAATCATCTATTTTAACTAGGTCTTCTCTGTTGTACCTTTTTTAAAAAGATTTTATTTATTTATTTGAGAGAGAGAAAGAGAGAGAGTGAGCGAGCACAGGGGCAGACTCCCCACAGATCAGGGAGCCAGACTCAGGACTCAGGACTTGATCCATGACCTGAGCCAAAGGCAGATGCTTAACTGACTGAGCCATTTAGGTGCCCCTATTCTGTTGTACCTTAAAGGAAATGTTCAGATACCAATTTCCTTTGCAGAAATATCTGTTCATGTCTTCTGCCCAATCAAGAAATGGGCAGAAGTGATATCTCATTGAGGTTTTGATTTGTATTTCCCTGATGCTGAGTGATGTGGAGCACTTTTTCATGTGTCTATTGGCCATCTGGATGATATATTAGTGTTTATAAATCATCTCTTAAATAATCTCTTATGTTTCTACTGTTACATGATGTCATATCTTTGGTACTGGGTTTTTCTGGGCTCTTGTCTGTTACTACCTATCATAACAATAGGAATGATATTGATTGATAAAATAATGAAATAAAATAGGAGTTTATTGGGGCACCTGGGTGGCTCAGTTGGCTAAGCATCTGCCTTGCGCTCAGGTCATGATCCCAGGGTCCTGGAATCAAGCCCACATCTGGCTCCCTGCTCAGCAGGAAGTGTGATTCTCCCTCTTCTCCCCAGTGGTGCTCTCTGTTGTTATCTTTGTCTCTGTCTCTCTCTCAAATAAATAAATAAAATCTTTTTAAAAAGTTGGTGTTGTTTCCTGATAATGAAATTATGAGGTATTTTCATTTAGACTACTTTCCTTTATTTTCTGTATTTTCTTTTGTTTTAATTATCTTTATTAACATGTAATGTATTATTTGCCCCAGAGGTACAGGTCTGTGAATCATCAGGCTTACACACTTCACAGCACTCACCATAGCACATACCCTCCCCAATGTCCATAATGCAACCACCCTCTCCATACTCCCTATTTTCTGTATTTTCTAAAATGAATTTGAGCTGTCAGAAAAAAATGAATGCTATATATATTAAAGTAATACTTTGATAAAAGAGCACAGCATAGACAATTACTGTATTTTTTTAGATTTTTATTTGTTTATTTATTTGACAAAGACAAAGAGAGCGAGAGAGGGAACACAAGCAGGGAGAGTGGGAGAGAGAGATGCAGCATTCCCACTGAGCAGGGAGCCCAACGTTGGCCAATCTGAGCACACTGGCATCATAACCTGAGCCAAAGGCAGACACTTAATGACTGAGCTCCCCAGGTGCCCCTACTTACTATATTTTAAAATAAATGATACAGTTTACAGTCAGTGTCCATCTAATGATCTCATTCAGCCATTGTATACACACTAATCACTGCATTCATTTGGAATTGTACGCAGTATCAGAAGACAGGAATTAAACTTAAGCTACCAGTAAAAGAGGCCAATCGGAATAAGCAAAGTGTAGATTTAAAAAAAAATATCTAGGGCATGCATTTATTACCAGGCTTTCAAGAAATCTCATCTGAACAGTTATGATGATAGTTACGCTTTGAAATATGCTGTACTTCAAATTATTTTTCACTCAACTTTAATTATTTTTATTCCCTTTGCAGCAAGAGGAGATGATCAATATCTAAAAATAAACTGTCACAAATAGCTTTTTTCCCCTTCTTAACACAAAGGGGTGGTACTATGAAGTAAGTGGAAAATGCCTCTTGATATTGGCTACCTATATTTAAAGTGGTGCTAACATTAGAGGAGAAAGAGGCTATAAATTTCTTTAACAAGCTCTGCTTGGAGGAATTGATTTAATCTACTATATTTGTTTTAATTATTTATAGTTGTGATGAGTTTAGATAATTATATTTAAAGTCTTTTAAAAAGAACCCTCCCTCAACACTTT